CCACGTGAAAATTTGGATATTATTTATAGAAATTTGTAAATCATATAAATAATATCCAAATTTTTACGTGGCCCTGACTACCTGATATGCACCTGATTTTTTTTTAATATTATGCCAATATAAATCAGATTCTTGGGTATCAATAGGAAAATTTATAGCCAGATACATATAAGTATGTCTCTAATATACATACTTTGAACATGTGAATACTAATAAAAACTACGTATTAATTTTTAAATATTTATTTGTGCAAAATAATTTGAATTGTGTAATTGTATTTTATGCAGTCATATTTTCTTAATTGTTACCGTAAAGTGCTGTATACAAGACCCGGATCTGTTACATTCCACCATTTTTTAAACTATATAGTAGACCAGAGTCTAGTACTCGCTGAGAGCTATATCGTGAAAAGAAAAAATTTAAAGTGCATCATGCACACTTTGTATTTATAGAAAAAAATCGCATTTGATTAATTTAGATTTTGTGGTTCGCGCCCGGGTTTAATTCATGGTGGATCTACTATTTGAGGATTGTGTATATGGTACCATGGATTTCATACCGATTGCTTTCTTTCTATTTTTATAATTCCTAACGCAATAGTCACGATAATCACTCAACGTTATTATTTATTTAGTGGGTAATACAGCCGTATGCAGTATGCAACTGATGTTGCATGTTAGATAATTGCTGCATAAGTTGCTTATACAGTCAGACCTTCCTAAGTGCACCCCTTCGTGACCATAGGAGAAAAATTGAAAAATGTGCACTTAAAGAGGTTGTGCATTTATAGAGAGCAAAACATATAGAACTCTTATAAGCTGGGACCGGACTATACTGTGCATTTAGAGAGAGTTTACATAATCCGTGTACTTAGGGAGGTCTGACTGTAATGTAAAACTGCACATAGAAATTATTATGTAATTTTGATCTATGCCATTTCATCAACATTCGCTTTATAGACGCTTTATCCTATCAAGTCAATAGTCTGTTAAATCCAATAAAAGATTAATCAACCAGGTCTGTTTCCGTTATATAAATTTAATAGTTTTGTAATATTTTATATCTGATTACCACCCAATACAATATAATATTTTTACAATGACTAATCTACTTCATATAAATATTAGATACATTGAAGGTATTTTTATGGGTCTCGATTTAGGCCCATAAAAAACTCACTGTGATTTACCGATTCATTTTCATTTATTAGTAAATAAGTTTTTCCATCATTATATAATTAGGGACAAGAGCTTCACTGCTCAGATCTCTTTATTCAAATAGGTTCGTTATGATAAATTTTATACTTTCTATGTATAAATTTATCAATTACAAGATTACAATAGCGACACTAATTAATAAATGACTAAATCTAGTAATTAATACATAATATCGTAACCACATTGTAATACATTTCAGATGTATTTAATGTTACTTTTGATGCAACTATAGATAATTTATTAAACATTAGGGCACTAGAACACAGAGCACAAGAACAATGTTACTTTGTTCAAAAGATCTACAGTCAATAATTTCAGGAAAGGAGGCTTTTTGTAATCTCGAGATGGATAAAGCCCAACGTGTCATATAATTTTAAATATTAAATTAATGTTAGCTTAAGATTAGGGTATTTTAAGTACAAATTACCTCCCCAACACTTTTATTAATATCGTGTTGTAGGTTTAGACATTAGTCTTCGTATTTTTCATGTTTTCACTTTTTTTTGTCTGGGGGTTTTTTTTTTTAAAAAAAGGATTCTATTGCTACAGAAACTTTCTAAATGTTAGGCGAAACTTGAAGAAAGCTCAAATTCGAATTCAAATTCAAATGCAAAATTAAATTCCGATTATTATTATTTAGAAGGAGAAACACAAACAGTGGTAGAGACTTCAACCGGAAACATAGCAGCATATAAATGGGGAATAAAGCAGCAGATGTCTTTAAAAAACAAATGGTAGATTGGCAAAAAGGCCGATAAATTATTATAAATGCCATGAAATTAGCAATTGTGCGAAAAATTTGGCAATAAGTTTACTAAATGTGAATAGTTCATGAAAGATAAAAGACTTATCTAAAATTCATACCGTAAAATCTCGAAATAGCGGACATGAGCGTTATTTCGAATCTTGGCCCGAATTAAGCTTAATTCGGGCCGAAAATTGTAATTTCCCCCCTGCGCGTTATTTCGAGATTTTACGGAACGTACTCAGCTCCAATAATTGGAATTGAAGCAATAGCAACTCTAAAATTATTACATTCGTTATACAGTATGTATTGTAAAGATAATTTTGCGTGTATGAATATTAGTGGAGATGTTTCTTGTTTACAAAGTTCAAGTTCAGGGAGAAATCAAATTCTATTGACAATTTATTTATAATAATAGGAATCATAAAATTATAAAGACAAATAATATGCTTTAGTGCTAAAAGCTTTAGCATTTTATTTATCTAGCTTCTATATTTTTTTATTCTTAAACGTAATAAAAAACGCATTGTTAATTAAAAGTGAACGGTAGTAAGAATTATTGCTGTACTAACTTTTAATAAGTTCTTGATTTATTGAAAAAATACACGATATTCTGGTTATATTGACTTTCAAAATAAAGAAGTTGTCCGATATATCCAGATGTCATTTTAACCATAAGCATTTTTGTATTATGTCCTATTCTAATCGGTATGAATTTACATTAAAAATAAATTTATTTATTATATATATATATATATTAATACTACATTAATAATATATATTGATTTATTATATTGTATTTATTTAATTATTACATTATACTAACCTTTACTATATTATTAAAGCCTACTTTAATAAAGCTCTTTGTTAGTACAAGAAGTTTTAAAATATAAAGGCTATTTAGCGCTAGTATGATTTTTGCATGTATCTAAATCTGTAATAGTATTTCTACCTAATTCTGAATCAGTAATATTATCCTCATCTGATTCTGAATCAGTAATATTATTTCTATTTAATTCTAAATTATTTAGTTCCAATTTTATATTATAACTATTATATAAATCGTCATCTAAATTATCTGAATCAACTATATTATTTAATTTTTGTATTACAGAATCAGGTATATCAATAATTTTACTATAATCTATATTTAATTTATCTAATTCAGTTAAAACATTATCTGGAATACACCAATGTGATTTGTATTTTTTAGCTATATATTCAGCTAATTTTTCTTTTATATATATCTATAAATCTCCATGAACATCTCTTAAATTTTCCAATTAAATATAAACTTACAGACTCTAGTGTATTTGGAATATTAATTTTTAACTCAGCCAATGTATAAGTGCAATATTTTTATGTATATTTTTTTGATCTACCTCAAAATTGTTCTATAAAATTTAATTCTGGATGAAATTTTGGGATAAAATATATAGTTATGTTTTGTATTTATTATTATTTCTTCTAAAAGACATTTTTGGGTTTGAAAATCAGGCTGTGCTGCTAATAGTCTTCTTGCACAACAATTATGTATAGTATAGTCATGCTTTTTTCATTTGCATTGTTTACAATTTAAATTATAGGTTTGATCCCATAATTCATAATCTCTTAAAATTTGTCCTATTTCTATAGGCTCTCTATCTATTATTATTTTTTGTTTATTTTCATTATTAGGACCCCAAGAAGTATCTCTAAAATTTTTATGTGCACTATTTTTACCTTTTATCATATTTTTTATTAGAAGAGTATTATCTACAAATACTTTTTGTGATGGATTATTACCAAAAGAAAATAAAACCTATACAGTTTGGACATTTTTCATTAAAAATTTAAATTGCTTCTACTACATGCTTTAAAAAAACTCGTAATTCCAATTTCCTTCTCTAGTTATACCAGGCTGAAAAATTTTAAAAGAAAGCAATTCATTTTTTGATGATATAAATACACCAAACATTACTGATAAATTGGGACCTTTTTTATATGTATATTTATTATCTTTTACCCATGCTTTGAAATTTGCTTCTTCAGTATTAAATATATATTTATTATAATCAAAAGGTGGAATAGGATCCATATTAATTCTAGTATAATTGCATATAAATTGTTAATAATATTTCATTTTATTAACAAATTCTTGTCTAGATTTTACAACATCTTCTCACTCATAATTGTCCCAATATAAATCTAAAAAATAAATTTTTAATAAAATAATATTAAAATTAAGTTGTTTTACTAAATCATACCACTGGTATAAAATTACCAATTTTTAATAAAATAATATTAAAATTAAGTTGTTTTACTAAATCATACCACTGGTATAAAATTACCAATTTTTTGCTATAATATATCCTAAATTCTGTTTACTTTACAAGCCTGTTTATATGAATTTATAGTTTAAATTTCTTTATACATACTATAAATTCTGCATTTAAGTTTTTTTAAACTTTGAGTGATAATATCTTGATAACTGTCTATTCAAAAGCAATGTTTTTTTTTATATTTAAATTCTTTGTATTTATATAATTAAGATAGATTATTATTGTTCTATCTTCATTAAAAAAATTATTATTACAATCCAATGCTTATTATTTTATCATTGTTTTGGTGCTATTGGGTAGTAAAATAAAGTATTAAAAATGGTAATTAATAAGTATAACCAGGTCAAGCTGTATCATATATAAAATCATGATTTTTTTATCTAATTTTGAAATTTGATTGGGCAGTAAAAGTTTTTGGGGTAGTAATACTTATAGCAATATAACCTTGGGTAGTACAACCTCTATGTCATAGCCATAATGCTGTAGTTACAATTCTAATTAATATTTGCATCATTATCTCTGCACTATACCTGCATTGGCATGCCAGCTATTGCACTATTGGTGTAATCAAGTACTCTGCACCACCAACTCTATCTACAGTTCAACTCATTAGTAAACCTACAGGTTAATCTATAATTCAACCTATGGGTTGACCTATTCAAGTTCTACTCAGATATATCCAGGTTGACCCAACCTGCTACTGATTTTCTAAAACTAATAGTGGTGTAATTTAATAAAATTAAAATTAAAAAATAAAAATTTATATTTTTTTTTATTTGTATATATGAATATCCAAGTTTTTTTAATTAATTAATTGCTGTTTTGATACAAATAGTTATATTTTCTTTATTAAGAGCATATTCTTTTAATTTTTTAGGTGATATAATATTATTTTGCAAACTTATTCAATTTTGACATTTATTTTTAAAATCCTCATTGTTGATTAAGGATATTTTTTTTGGATATTTGTCTTGTTAACTTTGAGGTAGGCAATTATTTTCAAGCCAATAGATAAAGCTCATTTTTTAATTATATAACTTTTATTAGAAGCAGCATCTATAAATATTCAATTAGCAACTAATCTACTAGCTTCAATAGTTTTTTTTAATAATCTTCAGAATTTATTAATTCTAAATATTTATAAATTGCATATAATTTTTATATTTATATACAATTGAAGTTTTTTCTTTATTTAATAATTCTTCTTTTAAAATTAAAATTTTTTCTTCTAAATATATTTAGTATTTAGTTTGTTTTTTTTAGAAGACAGATTTGCAATTCTAAATTGTCAAATTGTCTTTTTGAAGTTGAGTTTGAAGAAGCATTGTGTATATTACTATTAAATTCAATAAGGGAGATTTAAAACAAATTATAGTTTGATATAGTTAAAAAATAAATTCTTATATATATAAATACATAAGAGTGAAAATGCAAAGATTTCTAAAAAATTGTTATATGTATTTATGTATTAAATTTATACTGTGTATAAAATAAAAAAATTTAAATATAGATACAAGAAATAGAGTACAAAGTATTTGGAGTATAGTTTAATAGCAGTAAAAGGTGTATCCAAGTCTGTGAATTTGATTGGATTATTTTTCATATAACCTTGACACCATAATATTGTATTACAGTATTAGAGTATTATGATTCCAAATTTATCAGTATTAGCTGATTGACATGTCACAAAATTAACTAGTCAAATGCAAATCTACTTTCAAGTTGACAGTAGGTTAATAAATTAAAAAAAATAGCTAAGTAGTGATGCATTAGCAAGTTGACCTATCCATGTTCCACCCAGATATATCTGGGTTGACCCAACCTGCTACTGATTTTCTCAAACTAATAGTGGTGTAATTTAATAAAATTAAAATTAAAAAAGTAAAAATTTTATCTTTTATTTATTTGTATATATGAATATTCAAGTTTTTTCAACTAATTAATTGCTGTTTTGATACAAATAATCATATTTTCTTTACTTAAAACATATTCTTTTAATTTTTTAGATGATATAATATTATTTTGCAAACTTATTCAATTTTGATATTTATTTTTAAAATTCTTATTGTTGATTAAAGATATTTTTTTGGATATTTGCCTTATTGATTTTGAGGTAGGCAATTATTCTCAAGCTAATATAAAGCTCATTTTTTAATTGTACGACTTTTGTTAAAAGCAGCATCTATAAATATCCAATTAGCAACTAATCTACTAGCTTCAATAGTTTTTCTTTAATAATTTTCAAAATTTATTAATTTAAATATTTATAAATTGCATATAATTTATTATATTCATGTGCAATTAAAGTTTTTTCTTTATTTAATAATTCTTCTTTTAAGATCAAAATTTTTTCTTCTAAATTATATTTAGTACTATTTTTTTTAGAAGACAGATTTGCAATTCTAAAATTGTTAAATTGTCTTTTTGAAGCTGAGTTTGAAGAAGACATTATATATATGTTACTATTAAATTCAATAAGGGAGATTTAAAACAAATTATAGTTTGATATAGTTAAAAAATAAATGCTTTTATATATAAATATATAAGAGTGAAAATGCAAAGATTTCTAAAAAATTGTTATATGTATTTATGTATACTGTATATCAAATAAAAAAAAAAATTAAATATAGATACAAGGAATGGAGTACAAAGTATTTGGAGTATGGTTTAATAGCAAGTGAAAGGTATATCCAAATCTGTGAATTTGATTGAATTATTTTTCATGTGATCTTGATACCATAATATTGTATTACAGTATTACATTATTATAATTCCAAATTTGTCAGTATTAACTGATTGACATATCACAAAATTAACCAGTCAAATGCAAATCTACTTTCAAGTTGACAGTAGGTCAATAAATTAAAAAAACAGCTAAGCAGTAATGCATTAGCAAGTGATGATCACATGGAAGATCCCAGTTCCAACAAGAGAATCCAATATATGCAAGGAGGAAGATAAGTCTAGATTAAATAAAATTACTAATTTAGAAGTTTATAGTGCGAATACTAATATAACAAAATTTAGCAAGAATGTATGACAATAGCATAAAGATATAAAATGAGAGGCAGCACAACAGCAGCCCTTTCAAGAAGCAAATCAATTTCGCACTCTGCCCTACCCTCCCTTAGTAGAATCTTGCCATTTTGTGGCAGCTTAAGCATCTCTTTATAGCTGGCCTGCGCTATGCAGGTGAGAGACCACCAGCTAAGATCATGTAACTATAAGGCTTCTGGCTAACAGCCAGCCTGCATTTATGTGGGTAGAAAACCATGGCTAATGCCAATTACACATCAAATGCACTAATGTATGCTATATATCTTTCTCAATTATACATCAAACGCACTGATGTATGCTATATATCTTTGTCAATTATACATCAAATGCACTGATCTGTCAAGTAAGTCATAATTTCTATGACGAATTACTATAAAAAATTTTTACAAATAAACTTTAATACAAATTAATTCATCTTTTCACCATAATCAACACCAGGTAATTTATGGAAAAAATTAAATAACGAAAATAAAATAATTAGAACAATTGAGACTTAAAAAAAAATTTTTAAAATTTAAAAAAATGGGACGGTGGGTAATGTAGAATAAAATTTAACTTTGAGTAGCCTTATTAGGAACCACCGTGATTAGAAGAGCTTGTCGTATGCGAAATTGGCAAATTTTATGGAATTACATTTCGTTTTGTCACCTCAACCGTCATTCATGGTTCTTCTAATATCTTGTTAGATGCAGGTATTTTCTGGTCAATTATGTAATTGCATGTGATTAATAAAATCGACTTAATAAAATTATAGAGATTACTGTATACCTTTTGTTATGAATTTTATAGCTGCCTGAACATAAGCATAAACATGTTGCATCACGCATGTCAACTGTGATCGTGCTGGTTCTGCGTGGCATCACATGTCGCGCAGCTAATCTTATTTGTTTATCGTTCTAAATATTTGTTATACGTACGTTGTGAAGGGTAACGTGATCCGTCGCAGAAAAAAACGCGATCCAAGCATATGATTCGGGACCTGATGCGCATTGATCGACAAAAGCGAAGGAATTTAAAACGCCTCTGATATTCAATGGTGGGAATTAAAGTCATAGCCATAAAATTAGTATGATTACTCATCGTTAGTCATAGATTCCCCGATACTTTAAATAGTCATAGTTAGAGATTCTAATCGTTGTAGCAAAGCCCCAAGGTCATCTGTAATGTATAAATAACCATTGACTTCATGTATCTGAAAAGTAGTGAAGTATTATAATAATAAAGACAATCTAATAATAAACTCGGGGGATCCTAGTGGCAGTAGGATCCTTGGTTCTCGGACCAAATCTTCCACGCCCCCTTTCGAGTAGCCTTTGGGCCTTTTTAGTTGTGTTTTAGCTATGAATTATAGTCACCCCAGATTCGCCCTTTTACAACGTACGTAAGTACGTAAAAATTTCAATCACCTCATATCGATATGCCATCTGTACATTGAAGATAAATTTCTTAAATTGTCAATATAATAAAATGAAGAATCTAGCATAAAAATAATACACTAAAAATAAACGTATATTTACTATATACAGTCAGACCTCTCTAAATGCAATGCAGCGGGACCATTTGTAAAAATTTAGCCAAACGTGCATTTAGAGAGGTATTGCATTTAGGGAGGTAAAAATCTATAGGCGTAATATTAGTTGACACGTGCATTTAGGGAGGCTTTTCACAGAACGTGCACTTAGTGGTTCATTTAGGGGGG